CGTTGGTATGTACATACTGTTTCGATATCTTTTTGTCTCGTTATAAAGTGAATATTAGTTTATTAGGAAATATGATATTGTCTAATAATAGTTAAGTTGTTTTGCTTTGCTTTCTCAGACTGGTACCGTCGTACCTTCTGGTATTTGATATTTCAACCGTCAAGCAACAATTCCTATATGCATTAACTTAATGCTGATATCCTGCTTCCCCAATCCAGTTAGCAGTCCCGAAACCAATAAAATTGCTACATTCAAGTTTTCTATTAAGCTGCCCAGAACTATAGGCACGCCTTATTATGTTACTGATGTTAGTGCTGCCCCTTATAAGTGAATAAAATATGAAAGGAAGGTTTTGGTAATTTAATAAGATCCTTGTATTACAATATAATGTCTCCGAGAAAGTAAAGTAATATCAAAAAGCTATTCGGATTTAATCCATAGCTAAAATATTAGAATGCTATAAAATAATGCTATATATTAGCATTAATAAGTTTATAATGGATACTAAAGTTTGAAAATAATTAGAGCAAGTAATTTAAATTATCCAAAGTGCTTATTAAACATAAAAATAAAATAAAATTATATTAACAATTTATATTATAATATATTTAAAAACAGTAGCCAAATATTCTTGGAATTCCTCGATGACTAACCTGGTGGATATTTAAATAAATTTTAAGTTCTAAAATGTACCTGCTCTAAAATTTGAAAATCTACGACTAATACAACTACTGGCAACATCGCAGGAGCTTAGTTGTGTACGCTAAAAGCTGTATACGGATCCCAAAAATGTTTTATCCAGTTACGGAGTCCACTTGATCCGACGTGTTGGTCGGAGTCTACATAAAGCGCTACTCAGATAATAATATACACGGCGTATATTCTCCTGGAGTTAGTATAATACCGTTTTAGTACGGAGCCTACATTAACCGCTAGAAGTATATATATATATATATATATATATATATATATATATATATATATATATATATATATATATATATATATATATATATATATATATATATATATATATATATATTAAGGATCACTTAAGTGTGGATCACGAAGAGTGGCGGGATTTTCAGTCAGAAGTTGGAGAAAAAAAAGACAAAGATGATGGCTACTTCATCTATTTATTGGAAACGTTTCGCTATCCAATTTGATAACATTATCAGTTCATCTAAAGAGAACAATATGAAAAACCTAACATCCAATGGAAAGTTATTAAGTGTGTTACCTCAAAAAGATATGTAGCTGTCAATGATATAAAAATTGTAAAGAAGCTTACGACAATGGACATTGTAAAATTATGTTGTATAAACAATAAATTGAACTAAATATAGTTAACAATTTTCATAAACTTAACCCAGCAAAAGATATGCGGTACTTATACAAGTATATAAAAAATTCATGTAAAAAATTTTTATATTTAAAAACAGTTAATGTGTAGCAAACAATTAATGTGTAGAAAAACTAAGAGATCAAAGATGCACTTCCAACAGTAAATCAATAATTAAGATTTTATTTTGACTTTAGGTAGCATTATTGTAATCATTTATTAAGAATTTTGGTAATTTAAAAGTATAATGAAGTTACCACTCTGAGTTTCTCGACTGCTGCCATTGAAATGGTGGTAAAACAGGTGTATATCGAATAATTCCATGAATGACACTGTTCTGCCTAGTACTGCACTTGGGACTCCTACCACCCATTACTCATCTTTACCTTATTTTCCTAAAGTTACTGACAAACTTATAACTTTATAAACAGAAGAACATACCTGTTAAAATTGCAGTTAAGAATGCCAAGCCGGTTAGAAATTTATTTTCAAAAACAAAAACACCCTTGTCCCTTCTGGAACAAGTGAATGTCATTTACCATATACCTTGTGCTGAGTGTGACTCGTGTTACATCGGTCAGACTGGGATATCACTGAGAGGGCGTCTTACAACGCACCGCAGTGATATCAACTTATCCAAGCATACTTGTCTCCTTGCACAGCATGCAATAAACACAAAACACAGGGAAGATTATAATGAAGTTAAGATTCTTGGTTCTAAATGCAATCTCGTTAAAAGATAGTTTTTAGAAATGTGTTATATACTTAAATACCCTAACACTCTTAATAAGAGAACTGACATTAGTAACTTAAGCCAAATTTATCATGCTCTAATATTGCAGAATTAGGCTTACCATGTTATTTACTTTAAAAAATAAAAAAAAAAATTGTCACCTAAGGTGTTTTTTTTACATAATTTTTTTTTTCAAATTCAAATAAATAAAATAAACTAAAATATTAATTTCTTAATCTACATTATCTCAGATTTATGCAACTTACATTGCATGACTAATGTCAATGTTGCTTGCGGATAATTATATTAATTGTTTTTATTCAAATAGTTTAATACAAATTTATTACTATAAAGGATTCATAGAATCCCTATTAATGTCCAGTTCCAAATTTATGAATCTTGGACTGTTGGAAGTTTAATCATCCTTCGCCTGTGGCTGGCTAACCAGTCACAACGTATACTATTTATATTATGATTTTTTGATTGACCTCTCTTGTTTGTTCTTTGTTCATCACAACCGATCAATGGAGGGAAAATGGTTTTCTCAACCACCTTTTCCTTTCATTTTTTGGTTTATACAAGCAGGTAGTCGACCAAATTTATCATATTTTTCAAATAAACCGCCCTATTGTATTAGAGTAGGTATTAATACGCCTTGCTGTTCTGTCACGCGTTGACCTCAAGACATCTGTCTTTTCACGTTGTGGTGCTATAACACCTGTTTTACCATCATTTCAACGGTAGCAGTCAAAAAAACTCAGAGTGGTAACTTCATTATACTTTTAAATTACAAAATTCTTAATTAATCATTACAATAATGCTAACTAAAGTCAAAATAAAATCTTAATGTAGGTACAAGTGGTGGAAATCAACATTTAAAACCTACATTGAAAATGTTCAGTTGGACCTAGTGGTGAAGAACACTGTCACAAACATGTTAAAAATATTAAAAAATACATTTAAAATTTTGAATAAAAACATTACAACACAACGTTAGTTTTGATATTTTCGCGGGAGCTATATGTTAGTTTTGATATTTCCGCGGGAGCTGTATGTTATATCAGTGGTATTCCGGGTTTGACTCCGCGTTAAATGTTGTTGGTTTTGATAAAAACCATTTTGACGACGTTTCGGCAAGATCTCACTTGCCATTTTCAAGTCTCTCTGGATGGTCTGCTTCTTGTCGATGTTCGAGTGGAAGTGACGATACGGGTGTTAGGCAGCTGGCTTTTGTAGTTACTGTGCGTTGCGCGCGCTCTTGTAATTGGTCCAGTGCGCAGGTCAGTGGGCGGGGTCTTGGTCGATTCCGTTCTTGCGTTATTCTTCGGGATAATTGGTTTCCATATTTTTGGCAATCTTTGGGCATCGTCTCGAGAATTTAAATTATTTTCTTGTTTTTCTATTTCAATGGCTTCTCTGATAATTCGTTTCCTCTTGTTTTCAACATTCGCTAACATTACCGTATGTTTGAGGTCAATTTGGTGTCCTGTAGCTAAAGAATGCTGGGCTAGGGATGACGTCGTTTCTTTTCGTTCGATGGCATTGCGATGTTCTTCTTGTCTTACTTGGATCCTTCTATTTGTCTGTCCAATATAGGCTCTATCGCATTCTCCACAGGGAATTTTGTATACTCCTTGATTTTCTAGGGGAATCTTTGTCTTGGCAGATGGTAATATGTTTGCGATTTTTCTGTCGGTGTTGAAGACAGTCTCTATTTTGTGTTTTCTCAGGACCCTGCTTATCTTCTCTGTTGTGCCTTTAATATACGGTAGAGTGGTTGTGGCAATCGGTTTTTCGTCTTCTTTTATTTCTTTTGTTGTTTTTTGTGGTCTTCGTGCCTTTTCGATTCTGTGTGTGGAAAAGCCGTTGTTTTTTAACGCTTTTGTAACTTTCTGCATTTCTCCTTTCTTGTGGTTTTCGTCTGTTAGTCGTTCAGATCTTATAGTCAGAGGTTTTATGACTGAATTCAATTGTGTAGAATGGTGGTGTGAATCTGCATGTAGGTATCTGTCAGTGTAAGTTGGTTTTCGATACACTGTATATCCAATGTTGCCGTTTTCTTTCTTTATTATTAAGACGTCTAGGAAAGGTAGTTGTTGATTACTTTCTAATTCCATCGTAAACTTGATCTTGGGATGGATACTGTTAATGTATTCTAGAAATGCAGTAAGTTTGTTTACTCCATGTGTCCATATGATGAAAGTGTCGTCCACAAATCTAAGCTATAGTTTGGGTTTATATTCTGCTGTTCTTATTGCCCGTTCCTCTATGTCTTGCATAAAAAGATTTGCTATCATGGGAGATAGCGGTGAACCCATCGGTACCCCTTCAACTTGTTTTTACAAAATACATGTATTGTAAATTTACAAAGACTGGTAGAAGACAACGCAAAAGTGTTACTTTTATGTATTGGACAGAAAGTCCTCTAGAGAGTTTTACATCTTTTTTATTTAATTCATAACCTGAACTTTATCTCATGTAATGTGGACAATGTGGTTAATTTGCAGGTTTGAAAACACCTCTATAATCTTCTTCTCTCTTTGATGGTCAAAGTAGAATGGAGATTTTAGTGGCCCTTGCCTTCATTGAATGTCTATACCTGTATTTGATTAGAATCTCAAGTTGGAGCTATTTAAAAAACTGGAATTGTTAAAGTGATTAAAGACCACTTTAACAAGAGTTTGATAATAGATCTTGGTTAATACCAAGATCTAGTTATTATGTAAAGGAATGTCTTAAATATTTATTAAAAAAGTAAAAATCTAATGCATAGAGCAACTGGCTTGTGTAACCAGAGCGTTTAAAAATGGGGTTTAATATGTATATTTATTTGTTTATTTAAATATGCCTATTGTGTGTGCGTGTACAATTAATACTTTTCGTAATTATTAATATTATCATAAAAAAAAAAGTAAAAACCCTTACCTAGAGAGACTAGGGTTAGTCACGTGACCCCAAACTTTTGAAACATATTTTTGATCTAATAAAACGCTAAAAAGTTAACGGAAAGCCATAAAACTTTTAAATAATTATTACCCAATACACACACATGTCACCTAAATCCGTCAATAAATGGCGTCCGCGAGATCTGCACATTTGAACTACTAGTAGTGACGCAATAGAAGATTATACACACAGAAGCTTTTGTTCAAAATTAAAATACTCTTGTTACAGTTATTATTTAGTAAGCTTTATACTTATTGTTATAGTTTAATAAAATTGTTTTTTAAAAACCGTTTCTCATGAAATAAAAACATAATTTGCATATAAAATATGGAGCGCCCGACACTGTTTTTTCCATTAAGTCACCTTTGACAATCCCAACACCAATGTTGTTATTAACGTATTTAAGCAACAAAGGCGATTTACAGGATAATAAAATATCAGTGGCGACTCGTGACATATTAATTTTAGTACGCAAAGACTAATATAACCCTTTATAGTTCTGTGGTCTTTAAGTGGACCACAAATTTGTAACGACGTAATGGGCCATAAAACGTTTATTCATGTATGTTACTGTGCACACGACTTTGCTTTCTTAATTTTGTGTGTACTTTATACATAAATCGGTAAGTACTTAATAATTTTTTGTTCTTAGTATATATATATATATATATATATATATATATATATATATATATAAATATATACATATATATATATATATAATATATATATATATATATATATATATATATATATATATATATATATATATATATATTCAGCCGAATTTTCACATCCATTGTTGGATATAGGCCTCCTCCAAACGTCTCCAGTTCTCTCTATCTCTAGCTGCTGCAATCCAGTTTGTTTCTATTCTCTTTAGGTCGTCGGTCCATCGGGTGGGTGGTCTGCCTCGACTTCGCTTGTCGGCTCTTGGTCTCCACTCCAATAATCTCTTCGTCCATCTTCCGTCTTCCATTCTAGCAACATGCCCAGCCCACCGCCACTTTTGTTCATTGATTCGCAGTATAATATCGTCTACGTCAGTTCGTCGGCGTATCTCCTCATTTCTTACGCGATCTTTCAAGGTCAGGCCCAGCATTGATCTCTCCATTCGCCTTTGTGTTACCCTTAGTTTTTCGGCAGTAGCTTTCGTTAAAGTTAAGGTCTCTGCTCCGTAGGTCAAGACTGGTAAGATGCATTGGTTAAATGCCTTCCTTTTCAGGTGTATTGGCATGTTTGTTTTAAAAACGTCTCTCATCCGTCCATATGCCGCCCATCCCAACGTGATTCGTCTATTTAGCTCGCAGGTTTGGTTGTCTCTGGTTATTTTAATTTGATGACCCAAGTATGTGTATTTATGGATTAATTCTACCTTGTTGTTATTGATCTGTATCTCTTCGCTGGGAACCATATTGGTCATCATTTTGGTTTTCTCGAAATTTATCTCCAGCCCAGTTTCTTGTAGTATGTCATTCAGTTCTTGGAGCATGTCTTTGATCTCTCCCAGATTATCTGACAGAAGCACGATATCGTCCGCAAAACGTAGATGGTTTAATCTTCCTCCATCGATGGATATTCCTTTCTGTTGCCATGTTAGTCTTTTAAATGTATACTCAAGAACGTTAATGAACAGCTTTGGAGACATGGTATCACCTTGCCTGACTCCCCTTTTTATCTTTATTTTATTAGTTGCAGAATATAGACTTATGGTTGTTGTGGCATTTTCATATATATATTTATAATTTTTAATTTTTAATTTTTAATTGAAAAAATAAAATAAATATATAAAAAATTAAAAGTATTTTTATTTCCAAAACTCTTCATTTCCAAAAAAGTAAATAAAAATAGCTATTTTAGTCCAGTTATTGAGGCTTAAAATATGGTAATACCTCCGAATTTTTTATAACTGCATTGATTTCTTTGAAAATTTCAAATTAAGCGTATCTTACCCTCCACTTCAAAATTTATATACGCTCTAGGTACGCTTTTTGTTTTTAAGGGGTGAAAACTACCCCTTATTGAAGACACTGGGAAAAACACGGATTTAATTATTTTATGCACTTAAATCTTGTTTATTCGCATAAGGTAAATATTGAAATGTGTTCTCTAATATGAAAACGATCCCTATATATTATAATTTATTGTGTTGGAATATCGGGTATGCGATCTGTTATTATTTAAAAAAAAAAAAGTTTTTTCTTTTGATCCTCTATATTTCGCTGATTTTTTGTCAGCTTCATCAGGAGACAACTAAAATATGTTTAAAAGTTATATAAAAATCAGTTTAGAATAAACAGTGACTCACTTACAGATTTAGAGTGGAAAGTATTTAAACAAGTTGTTGAACATAATTTTTTCAAAACAGTACTGACAGTATTGGTTAAAAGCACCTAGGTCACTACTAATTAAATATAAAAACAAAGCAAACAAAAACAACCAAGAAGCAATTATTAAAACACAATAAAATTACACAATAAAAATATATAGGGTGATTTAAAATATAATTGTTAACAGAAAAATTATTTGGACATACTAAGAATATTACAGTAGATATTGCTCAACTGTCCCGTGTGTCTGCCTTGTAATTTACTGCATAGTTTTCTCTATTTATATGACAAAAAATGCCATATATATATATATATATATATATATATATATATATATATATATATAATTCTTTGGAGGGTAACTTTCGGGAAAGCGTCAAAACAAGGATCAGCTAGAGATGGTATAAGCCAGCTTGGTGTAGAACTTTATTCTATATGTGAAATTTTCGGTGATATGTTGTCACCTTCATCAGCACTTTTGCATTTGTATTTGAAAAACTACCCTGTTGTTTGTAATGTTTTTATTCAAAATTTTAAATGTATTTTTTAATATTTTTAACATGTTTGTGACAGTGTTTTTTACAACTAGGACCAACTGAACATTTTCAATGTAGGTTTTTAAATGTTGATTTCCACCACTGTACTATAATAGGTTTTCCATTTAGGTGCTGATGAAGGTGACAACATATCACCGAAAATTTCACATATAGAATAAAGTTCTACACCAAGCTGGCTTATACCATCTCTAGCTGATCCTTGTTTTGACGCTTTCCCGAAAGTTACCCTCCAAAGAATTGTATTCTTAGCGTCGTTACACACACTCTATATATATATATATATATATATATATATATATATATATATATATATATATATATATATATATATATATAAATTAAGGATCACTCAGATGAGTGGTAGGTTCTTTTATCGGTAAAAAGGTGGAGAAAAAAGACAAAGTTGATGGCTACTTTATCTATTTATTGAAGACGTCTCGCTTTCATATTCAGAAAGCATCATCAGTTCATCTAAAAAGAACAATATGAAAAAAAACCAGACAAGCATGGGAAAGTTGTTATATGTGTTACCTTAAAAAGATATTCCATGAGAATAAATGCAAGAAACAACACGCTATTCACCATTAATAACATGCAGATTGAAAATGTGGAAAACTTTACGTATCTTGGAAGTGTCATAACAGAAAGCGGAGGTACAGAAGACGATATTCGTATGAGGATACGAAAAGCGCAACAAGCTTTCAGCATGCTCAACCCTGCTTGGAGGTCTGGAGAATACACTACGAGGACAAAGATCCGCATATTCCAGTCAAATGTCATGTCTGTACTACTTTACGGATGTGAAACCTGGAAAGCGACAAAAACCCTTACAGACAAACTGCAGGTCTTTGTTAATAAATGTCTACGAAGAATTGTTCGTATTTTCTGGCCTAACATCATCAGAAACGAAGACTTACTACACCTGACCAAACAAAAGAGGGTAGTAAATGAAATAAAGTCCAGAAAGTGGGGTTGGATCGGTCACACACTCCGAAAAAATAACTCCAGTATTGCAAAGACTGCCCTAGAGTGGAATCCCCAAGGAAAACGAAAAAAAGGTCGCCCAGTACAAACTTGGAGAAGATCCATCATGGACGAGATAAGAAAACAAGGAAAGTCTTGGAATGAGGTGAAGGCCTTAGCGCAAAATAGAACCCGATGGCGCGTTTTCACTGAAGCTCTATGCTCCACTTAGGAGTTCAAGAACCTTATATATATATAAAAAGATATAGCAGTCAAAGATATTAAAAATGTAAAGAAGCCTAAGTAAATGAACATTATATGATAATATTATATAGATAATCAATTAAACTAACAACAATTAGCAATTTGTTAAAACTTAGCACAACAAAAGAACATGTGGTCTATTCCTATATGTAAACGTAATAAAACATTAAATAGTGATTAAAGAACTAAGAATATCATAGATTCACTTCCAACAAATATATTAATAGTTATGATTTGATTTTAACCTTAGGTAGCATTATTAAAGTGAATAATATTGAAATTTAATAATGTAGTGTATAATGAATTTACCACTGTTGGCTTCACGACTCCTGCCGCTAAAATGGCGTTAGATTGAAGCAAATGGCGCCAAACAATGGAAACAATGGAAACGTTTTTAATAAATCGATAAAGTAGCCATCAACTTTGTCTTTTTTTCTCCACCTTTTGACCGATAAAAGAACCCATTACTCGTCTGAGTGATCCTTAATTTATATTGGATTGACAGTTGTACTCCTTTTCCGATATATATATATATATATATATATATATATTATATATATATATATATATATATATATATATATATATATATAATAGGAAGAGAGAGAGAGAGAGATGCGCTCGAAATGCTCCAAATTATAAAATTCTTCCATGCTCCAAAATTTATGCTAAAAAGTACTATAGGTTTTTTTACAATAACTCGGTTAATTTTGGTAAACGGTTTTACAGGTAATTTAACGGGCTATAAGTATAGGAATGTTAAAACAATCTAAAGTCCTTCATGTTTAAAGGGTGGAGGGTCAAAGGGTCGGAGACCAGTGGTTCATGCGCTATAAAGCAAACTTCAACCAACTATATATCCGTTATTTTTTAAGCTACAAAAAAAACTAAAAAAAAATTTGTGTCGAAAAAAAAAACCTATTTTTTTGTATTCTGTCATCTTTTACGTAGTTTTGAAGTTATTATAAAAAAAAAGATTTTTTTATTATTTACAAAAAAAAAATTAATAA